TGAGTCTGTGGAGGGCCTGGTTTGCCCTAAGACCTTATTAATTCAGTGGATTCTGTGCTAGTCCCAGCATTATGGTTATCTAGTAGTCTGAATACTGTCTGGATGTCAGCCAGCTAAAAAATGCTTCAGCTGACTTTGATCCAGAACAGGAAGGCTTCCATCAGATTGTGTATATAATGGGAGTTGCTGTATGTAGCCAGTTTTGCACCATCTACTTCCCACGTCACTGCCCCTTTCAGATTCGTGGCAGTAAAGCAGCCTGGACTCTTCATCAGGCTTACAAGGCTCTGTCTAGAAGTACCTATCAGTCTTCTGTTCATACCACACTGTGTTGGTGAAGACTAGGTGATTGGTAATCACATCAGTTCCAAAAAATGAGAGAATAGCTCTGTATTCCTTTAAACTGTGCATATAGAAACATTTAGGTCGGAGAGGACCTTTAAGATCACCAAGTCCAACCATTAATGTAGCACTGTCAAGACCACCACTAAACCATGTCCCTAAGTGCCACATGTGTACTTCTTTTAATTACCCCCAGGGATGGTGACTCAGCCAATTCCCTGGGCAACGTGTTCCAATGCTTGACAACGTTTTCCATGAAGAAATTATCCAGTCTTAATCTGACACAACTTGACGTAATTTCCTCTTGCCCTGTCGCTTGTTACTTGGGAGAAGACGCTGACCTCCACCTGACTGCAACCTCTAGTACAAAAAACCAAACACCAGTAAGACAAACTGTACATTTAGTGAAGGAGTAGTACTCTGGTGGTCTAGTGGTTAGGGTGCAGGACTCTCACCGCTGGGACCCGGGTTCGATTCCCGGCCCCCCGGGCAGATGGAGCTCGTCAGCCCTGTAAGGCAATCCATCTAAGAGAAGGTCACTCTAAACAAACCTACGTTCTGGGGCCCTCACTGCCACTGTCCAAGCTTGCTTGGCCCCGGCAGATGAACCTCAGGATTAAAGGGTGGGCTCAGTTCAGCGCACACTGTGTCTCACCTAAAAAATCCACTGTGCAGGCTCGAAGGGTTAATGACCTTTCCCAAATCTTCGCTCGCGAAGACTGGCCATTAAAAAATAAAAATTAAGTAAGTACTTTGTTAGGACAATCCACAAGCAACTCCTGCCTGCATTAGGCAAGATCGTAACATAGGGAAGATTATTGTATTGGGCTGACAATGGTATTTCCAAGTGCTGTAGTAGCTATACCATCTATTTCCCTTTGTTTAATAAACTTAGTTGATATTTATAGTTAGTTCATATAGTTCAGGTGAACTTCCCCAGGAGGATGATCTACTCAGCATTGGAAGATTGGATATTTGCTGAAAGGAAAATACACCTTTTCAAGTGAGGTTGTAAGTTAGCTATCATACCATTTTGAGAAGTGCTGTATGTAGCAATCCTGTTTATTTTTGGTAGGTCTTTACCTCCATCTCTCTTAGAGAAAGAAAAGTAGGCAACACATTGCACTTAAGAGTTTACCTGCTTCTGCTTCCTACTCACCTGGTAGCTGGTAGGGTGAGCAGCAGTTTTTAACCAAAAACATTCACATATTTTGGATCATTTAGGCTAGCTTCGTAAGACTTACTCTCTAGACAGTTCACCAGCTCCTTCTCCAGAGCTGCCTTGGAGCTGCCCTTCTCTGGACTTGCTCCTTCACCTCAATGTCTTTCTTGTAGTGAGGGGCCCAAAACTCTGAACAAAATACTGAACACAGTATTCAGGATCAATGTCCAGATGTTTTTCATGAAAACATTGAAAAAGCCTGAAGAAGATGTTAATAGAGATGGGTGTAATGGGGCTGTATGTCATGAGTACTCTCAAGTTGGTAACCTTCCTACCTGTTTTGAAGAGTATCCCTGTACAACAGCTCATTGGTCTTTGCACCAAACCAAATTAGATGATACTCTTGGTTTCAAAATAAGTTTTCATGTTTCATTATGTCCTTTTTGGCAACTGCAGATTAAATGAAATTTCATCACCATTTTCATTCAGAAAGTCTTCATTAGTAACAAGGAAATAGATTCTGCACGTGTCATTGCCTTAGGGAAGAGAAGCTTACCTTGTGTTAGTAGTTTAAGAATATATATGTGTGTGTGTGTGTGTGTGTGTGTATAGATAGATAGATGTAGTTCTATATGAATGACCTTCTGTTTAGTGTTTTTTTGAGTTTTTTGGTATTTTTTTTAATTGAGGGTTTGGTATTTCTGAAGGACTGAGACTTAGGATTGGATTTAGGATTGGAGTAACCCCATCAATAGACCAAATAGAACTGAAGTTATGCCCATTTACTTACCTTTTATATGCACAGAAATGTATTGATAGTTCATTGCTTTATCCCTACTGTTTCCAGTGATGGACGTTATTTTTGCTGAACAGCCAACTAATTATAAGTATCTACTCCAACTAATTATAAGTATCTACTAGCTTTTAGTGTCCCTAAGATGTCTCTGTACTATACTGATAGTCATAAAATTGTTAAGGTCCTTCATTTCTTGACACTTTTACTCCAGCTTCTGAAAAGTTGTCCCCATCTTCCAAAATATCAGAACTATTAAATAGGCCTTAAGAATGGTCTATGAACAACAACAACAAAAAACTCCCTACATTGTATTGTTCTGTTCCTGGAGTGAATTTACTCAAGACTCTCCTTTAAATGGTGATTAAATTTTCTCCATTTGTAGGGTTTTGTTGCCCTCTAGAATTTGCATCCTAGTAGAGTGGTAGGGTTTCACAATGAAACAAAGCTGTAAATTTCTTTAATAGTAAGATACTAATAGCGTAAGCAACTGAAAGGAAATTAATATGATAGTGTGCTGGTTGAGTTGCTACTAATAATAGAGACCCTTCTTGCAATGAATGGCTTGAGAAGAAAGATTTAGTTTTTCAGTAGCTTGGCAGAGGGATAACTTCAGCTTTGGGTCTCCAGGAGGTTTTTCTGATAGTGCTGGGGGAAAGCTGGAGTATGACAGCTCTGGGTTTAGGGACTAGCCACAAGAAAGAGGAGCTGAGGTAGATGGTGACTTCTTAGACTAGATGGTTAAAACAACTAGTGGGCTCGAACAATGTATGAAATCCATAGAGACTTAGTCCTTGAATCCAAAAGCATGTTGGATGACTTCTGTTCCTGAAGTTTCAGGTTATGTTATGTGTGTCTAATCCTGAAAGTTCATAAAATATCAGTTTTATGCAAGCCACAAACCATTACCCAGTGGTAGTGTTCTCAGGGAGAAGTCAAATGCTACAAAATACTACATGGTACTGGCAGAGTAGGAGGGCATAACAAATGACTTGCAATAGCAACAGTTCCCTATGTGAAATTGTTTAGGAAACACAACTGTTTGTCTCCTGCTTATGAGGAATTTCACATCTGTTCTACACCATCTCTCCCAGACCTTGCTTCTCCGTTAAGCCTTAATGAGGGAAAGCTCTGCCTGTCTTGTCATGTGACCATTATTTTAATGCTGAACATATAAATAAAGCTACTATGAGCATCTCTGCATCCTCTCTCTAGTCTTGACTGATGTTTAGTGCTTCAAAGGAAGGCCAGGTGGAGTTAGAGATTTTCTGAAACAAACTTTGCATTATGAAGGAAGATATTTTTCTTGCCCAATCTGGTAACTGAAACACAGTGTAGTAATATAAAAGTAATGGAGCAAGCTGAATAGACAGTAAGGTAATTAAGACTTTTCTTCACTGTCCTAGGATATAAATGAACCAGATATCAGAGGCCTGTTGACCAGAGCTTCCATTTCTAATCTGCAGTTCTGTCTCTCTGATGTTTCAGTTATAACATTTGATGCAGTTCACTATGCAGAGAGTATTTCACATAGGCTTGGCATTCAACTTGAATGAATAGATAGAAGATAGGATTGCTTATTCTATAGTGTTCCTAATCTATGTTAAGTTTAAATAAACTTGGACTATGAATGTATGCTTTTGAGATGATAATATAAAGGACAAGCAACTTTGACTTGGAAAAATTATGTAAGAGGGGAATTAATTGCAGATAATCTTGTCTTTGTAAATACATCAAGTACTCCACATGTCTGTATGAGATTAGTTTTTATTAAACAGCCTGAATATTTTTTTTTGTAGAAATGGTGAAAGATTTCCAGCAGCATGTGAGGTCTGCCCAGGCAAATGCTCAAAATAGATGCAAAGCAAGGATATAAAATAAAAAACATACATTGTAGCAAATTTGTAAAAACAGATGAATTTTATCCTTCATAAGAACTAAAGAAAGGAATAGACTTCAATGTTATGGGGTTTTTATATGAATTAAAGCATTTTTATACTAACATCTAAGTATTTTTTAAAGATTATAAGGCTTAGATAATTTCCTTTTTTAAAAAAAAATAAATCTAATTAAATCCTCGTGCTGTCTAGGAAGTCAAAACTGGAATCATAAGCTGGAAGACAAAATTAGCCAAAATGCAGATCAGTGTTCTGTTTCATATAGATTCCTCTCTGTGGCTGAGGCCACACTGATGTAATGGGGCTGTGTGAGTCCAAAGAGCAGACTGGGAAAAAAAACCCTAAAACCTAAACACCAAAAAACCCCAAAACTGTTAAAAGTTCAAAATGCAACTTTTTTTTGTCTCCTTTCCTATCACTCCTTTTCCCTCAACTCTGATACCCAGTAGTGGGAAATATGTGAAGTAGCATACCTGATTACTGCATTATAGATTTCTTTACTGAGTTGCTTTTTGTGCTGTCTTTGTGCTCATGTTCATTACCTTCCAGAAATTTTTCAAAACAAAACAATCAGTAGGAGTGCTGCACATTCTCAGTTAAGGTTATCAGAGACATGCTCATACTTGACTGTCTAAACTGAAGATGTGCACTGGGGACTAAGACTTTTTTCTGTTTGCTTGTCTGATGATTTTGTGGGAATGGGAAGATGATACAAGATCATAGACTAAAAAATGTTTTTTAAATTACTGTCACTTTTATCAGGAATGCTTGAATATTTTCACTAAAACTGGTACTTTCTCTACAGCTGCTCGAAAAACATAAGAATACAGAAAGTATGGTAGAGCTGCTTGAACTGTACCAAATGGAAGATGAAGCCTACAGTAGTCTTGCAGAAGCTACCACAGAGCTCTACCAGTACTTACTACAACCATTCCGTGATATGAGGGAACTTGCGATGCTTAGAAGACAACAAATAAAGGTATGGTAAAGGTAACTGAGCTTCCTATTAGTTGGGAAATCCTGCTTTTTAGTTGCTATTTACTGGTTTTATTATGCAGTATATGAAGGTGTGTTTTTTCCACTTGGTGTTGACCCTCTGTTTCTGGGTTCTCCACTTAGATGAGTGCTTTTGAAGAGTGAGAACATCTGACATATGTAGCTAACCACCATCTGTTTATCTTACTGTCTTCTACTGTTCAAATGTGTGGCTGAACTAAATAGGTCAAACTTAAACTTTTGTGGTTATTGGGAATATTGACTAATACATCAAGTAGAAAGAGACGTGCAGTATATATACTATTGTTAATTCTTCTAAAAGATTGCATAGGAAGTTACTTTTCATTTTAGTTTTCTAAAATAATCTGATAAACTGTGGGAATTCAGTAGCTTTTTATCTGATATTATGAAACACTGAAACATGGAACGATTTTCCAAGTGTATAATTCATTGTAACACTTCAAAGGTATATTTTCCTAAGAGCTAAAGAAGCGTAACCACCTGAAGAATACTGCATTTTGGTAAAACTGTTTAAGAATGGGTATGCTTATTTTGTTTAAAAATAATTCTAATCTTGAATACTTAACCAAAATTAACAAATTTATCTTTATTGCATCTTGGAAGTACTTTTGATAAAATTATTAATTCCTATGCAGATTGTTAAGACTGCAGCCTTCTGATTCTAAGCTAAAATGGTTTGTTTCATTTAATCTGTGTTGCAAATGACATTTTATCTCAGCTTGACGCCTTGTTCAGTTAGCTAACATTACTGGTTTCAACTTAAAAATAGTGTTTCTCTCTGGTTTTGAGTATAGAATGAGGGAGGGAGGCAAAAGGATTTATGATTCCCAAACTAGTTTTATTTTGACATATTGCTATGTGCCTAAAGTAACTTTTCAGAAAGCTCAGCAATATGAAACGAACTCGGTGTTATAATGAGATAATATTTGAACAAAGAGTGCTTTTTTTGTCCCAAAAGTTAAGTATTGCTGCACAGAGAATTGGCATGAATATTTTTTCAGATGTATTACACAGTTGAAGATTATGAATACTTCACTTATTAAAAAGCTTTCTTCAGAGCACAGTGAAATAATTCCCATTTTATTTGAATTTGTAGCAGAGGTGTCATGGGTTAAGATTGGCCCCCCACTCCGAGAGTCAGGGGCTCAGAGGTGATTGGGTGCCAGGGCAGTGTTCCCTGGAGGGCCAGTCACCACTTGTCTTGTTCGCTTCTGCTCAAAATCATATATACACAGCACCAGAAGCTGTGGGCAGTTCTGCTATTGGTGTCTGCTGCGTGTAGGTGTAGAAGGCCAGGGGGTGGCTGGGCTCCTTCTTCCCCCCTCCAAGGGAGAGAGGGGAGCACTGCCGCCCCCCAGCTCTACCTAGGCCAGCGTTAGAGACAGCACTGGAGTGAGTGTATGTTTGTGAGGTATGTGACTCACAAACAACTGGTAAGTGAGAGAGAGAGAGAGGCAGGCCTTGCAGCCAGGCCTTCTTCTTCTTTTCCCCCTACTTTGCAGCCAGGCTGCAGAAAGGGGCTGTTTTTCCCTCTCACTGTTTAGTGGGAGTGGTGCAAGGCTCAGCATTGGAGCAGAGCCAAGTGGATGGGCTGATAATGAAGCAGCTCGGTGCTAGGGAAAAGAACCCCAGGCGAAATTGGAGATGGGCCAGAGAGAGAGAGGCTTGGGAGTTGTCCTGCCGAAGTTTGACCGGGGCAGCTGAAAACTGACTTGGAGGATGCGTACATTGATAAGCTACATTACAGCAGCCTACAGAACCGAGGTATAAGACCGAGAGGGAGAGATCACACAGCCGAAATTACACAGGACCAAGGAGAAAGGACTTAGAGCTACCTTCTTGGACTTTGTGAGTAAGGAAGGACTTCCACAAACAGCTGGAGCTTGATGAGGGGGGAGCGTTCAGGGCCCCGAACACTCCCACGAGGGAGAGTGGTTACTTATCAACCTGAAAAGGCTTTTCCTGGACTAAAGTTAAAAGGAGAAGCTTCGAAGGGACTGATAGAAGAGTAATAATATATATATATATATATATAGTTGCTTTTAGTTTGTATAGTATTTATTTTGTGTAAATAAAATGTAAATACTTCCGCTTTCCCCTATAGAAGCCTCTGGCCTGAAAGTTTTCTCTTGGGTGTTGAGATAAATTGTGGGAAGGGGTGGGGAAGCCTGGAAATTGGATTTTAGATTTCTAATGTGGCTCAAACTGCCACAAGAGGAAAAGATGATTTTTTTTGTTCTTTTGTCAAATAAGAAAACGTAAATATTACAATGAGTAGGAAATATGGATTGAGTTGTTTTGTTTTGTGTTTTAAACCTCAGTGATCTCTTTAACTGCAGTTTTAAATACCTAATTTCATATTTTTCCTGAAAGAGTAAGAACTTTGTTCTGTGGTTGATTATTTTAGTTGTACATAGTCATACCTAATGTAATTTATGTTCTCTTCTTGACTTGGGAATTTTTGAGTTAAAAAACTTGGTCATTTTCATTCATCTATATTATGTGGTAGAGAAAAATGCTGTCTCTTGTTTTTTGTTTCATTGTTTGAGAGAAAGCAGTACTTGTATCTGTGATGACAAAATACATGTTACGCTGTATAGCTAGGGTTGAAGAATTGCTTTATGAATAGAACTTGTGCATGAAATGGTTTATATTAATTTTCTACATATGTTTTCTGGCAGGCTTTAACATTTTAGATGTTTTCTGTATTAGGTATCTGGTTTTGATTTGTGGGGAAGTTGTTTTAGTTTGGTTTGGCTTTTGGGGTTTTTTATGAATTTGGGAAGTTTTAACTTTTAATCAGTTTCATTTTGTCAGTTTTCACAGTGAGTTTAGAAAGAAATTATTTGTGTTGTCTGTAACCTTTGAGAAGAGTGTTTTGTGTTTTCTCCTTTTGGAGCACGATAGAAAAATTGAAATATGTATCATCTGAGTGTTAAATTTTTGCTGTTGCTGTGAAATTTAAGCAAGAGACAAACGTACAGGTGACAAGGGAGAAAGAAGCACTAAGTTCTGTCTGATCAGTGGAGGCTTATTAGAGTAGGACAGATGTATTGTATGCAGATTCCTTCTTTGGACAAAACCCTCACCAAACAACAAACCACAAACAAAACAACCCAGAATGGAAGATCATAACAAAGTTAAAACATGTAGAAGTTTGGAAATGTAGACTGGTTTTGTCCATTATAGACAAGATAGAATCTTCTTTTGGTTTAATATTTTAACTTGATCATATGTTTCAGGTGTATTTTGTATCATTCAGTGTAAAGGATAGAACATTTAGTATATGTGAGGAGTCAAAAGGTCTATTGTCAAGTACTTAAATATTTCTGGATTTGGAAAACATAATTTAAAAGGTGTAAGATCATGGAAGGAGAAAAGGATGGTTTATTATGAAATGAAATGTTACTCTGGAAAACTGACTTCTGCTGCAGTTTCTGCTGAATTATGGACTAGTCATCTGACCCTAGAACAGTGTGTTCAGTAATTATATGCTTCTTTTTGTTTGGGCTTCCAGCATCAGAAATGTAGTTTTGTTTGTGTGAATGCTTAATATTTGTAAGTGCTGCTTAGAGGGGGACTTCCCTCTATGATAAGCATATCAGAATGCTTACCAGATACCATGCATTCTTGAAAGAGATGAACACTGCAAGCACAGCTGTATTTTGGACTTACATTTTTATCAGGATCATATGGAAACAATCCCACAAATTTTTCATTAATCAGAATAGATCATTCCCATGTAAAATTTTATGAATTTTTTGCACATGAAGAACACACATTGCTGTCCATAGCAGAAAAGTGAGAGGTAGTAGGCATCAGTAGCTGGAAACACAAAGGTGAAATACTTCTGACATTTGGAAGAAGGAGAGTAGGTACCTGTGTTCTGGTGCCTTTGATTTCAGAAAGTTTAATCTAAATTTTATTAGATCCTCCATATATAGTGCAGTGTTCTTCCGAAAGTTTGGAGGGGAGGCACCGGTTAGTGGTTGACATTTGGCTATAGTACTTACTGACAGGTTAATATGATCAAGCTTTAAGTCCTTTAACATATGAAGTGTTCTTTGATGAAGGATACCAAATCTGGTTATTTAGAAAAGAAAAAAAATATTTCAGAGGAATAGCTTCATGGGCAAAACTCCAAAGCCTTTTATGTCTGTGCAGTTGTGTTTGCCAGTCTTCATACAGAGAAAGAAACTACCTTGCTACTTGTGGTCTTGTAACTGTGGACAGTACTCCATAGTCATGATGAATAGGCAGTGAGTTTGATCAAACTCAAGGTGAAATCAGTGGGAGACTTTCTTTTTTCATATATTTTTTTAATGTCCTTGGTATTAGACTAAAGATAAATGTAGCAAACTGTTTCACAACCTACTTGTAGATGCCAGCAACACTTGGACGTATGCACTGAGTTGCTTAACTGAGAACTGATAATACATTCTTACAGGTAGAAGACTACAGCCACCATTACCTCTCAGTTCATCTCCAGGAAATGAGAGTATTAAAATGTTATCATATGTTAAATATATTAAACATACTCTTAGCTTCATTGCATACCTAATAATTATTTTTACTGACGTATTATTCACTTGAATGTGGGGATGTTTTAAGAAATTTGAATGCTTTAATGTTGAGGTCTAGCACTGGAAATTAGAGACTAGAGCAGGATATACATTGAGAATTCATCACATCCTGTTTTTAAAAGTTTTAGAATGCTTCATTAGTTTGTTGTGCTTCCCTTTCAAGTTCCTTTACATATATTCTGGTATAGTTGAAAATACAACTCTGGCTAACTGTATGTGAATTTTTTGTTTGTTTAATACATGATGGTAAATTGAAGTAGTGAACTTTATAATTAATTTAACTTTGATTTGTGCAAAATTAAATACTTAGAAATAACTTTTGTTGTATTGAACGTGTAAAATTTTGGTTAAAAATACTTTCACAGTATGAAACAAATTA